TGGGATGCAACATGGCTACTTTCTAGAAGCCTTTGCAGAGGGGGAGGTGAACACTGGGCAGATCACACCTCTCTTTGAGGCTCTATCTGCACTCCACTCAGAGTGTGTTGGTATGTTAATTCCATCAGGAGGTCTCTGCCCTTGTGACCTAATTGCCTTCTAAAACCCCTCCTACAAATGCCATTACATTACATAAGTAGAATTACAATGTATGAATTCGGGGGTGGAGGTGGGCCACAGACATTTAGTCTACAGCAGTTAGCTAGTCTTTGAAAAATCCATTTCCAAGTGGATTTGGTTTCATGAGTTGTGAATTGACACAGATGGGAAAACAGTCTCTGAGTAGCCACAGTCCGGACTAAGAAAAGCTTTTACTAGCCGCCTGAGTTCTAGGGAGTACACAGGCAAGTTGCAACAGCAGTTCCTTTTATTTTTTTCTTAACAATACTGTTATGGCCAAAACCAGTTTGGCTCAGTGGTAGAGTGTCAGTCTGCGGACTGAAAGGTCCCGGGTTCAATTCCAGTGAGGGGCATGTACGTTGGTTGCAGGCACATCCCCAGTAGGGGGTGTGCAAGAGGCAGCTGGTCGATGTCTCTCTCTCATCGACGTTTCTAGCTCTCTGTCTCTCTCCCTTCCTCTCTGTAAAAATCAATAAAATATATTAAAAACAAAAAACAAACAAAAACAAAAAAACACCACAATACTGCTATGGAGAATTTAAAAAGAAATACATTTGAAATTATTTCCTATGCACGAGGCTCTCTCTGCAGGCTGCTACAGTAAGGTGACCAGACGTCCTGCTCTTGGCAGGACAGCCCTGATTTTTAACTATTTATCCCGTTTTAAAACGCCGCGGGACACGAGACAAATTGTTAAAAATCGGGACGTCTGGGCACCTTATACAGGCCACTGAGTGCTGGAGAAGCAGGGCGGCTACAGGGCCGCCTGAAGTTGGTCCCTGGAACAGCGCCTCTGCAGGCACGAATTGACCACTCTCCGGGTGCCACCGTCTTCCTTTTCTTTTTAATGTTAGTCTTTCATCAGATTCGCACACACAAACCTGAAAGGGTGCTTTGATGATTGACTGATATTATTATCTGAAGGAATATCTACCAGCCATCGGTGCAGCCGGTTACATAACTGAGTTGCATGCCCTTCGAAAATGATCAGAGTCAGGACTAAACGAAATTTCATAGATTCAGTTTTTCTATTACATGTGTCTTTATATCTTCTTGATAATTTGTGTTTGTTGGGGTCAGTTGCCTGTAGGGAGGAAGGAATTTTATTTGGAACTAATGAATCATCATTTGTTGAGCTGATAAAAACATTTTGGGGACACTAAATAGATTTAATTTTTATTGTTAGTTTTTAACCAAAGAGACTGAATAACTTCTTGTGAAAGTTCTTGACTTGGCTGCCTTTGAGTCAACTCTCTTGCCCTGATTCCAGTATTTCCTATGAGACTAGTCAGAGCTGAACTGAAATTCTTTGGGTTATTTTACATGCAGCATTCATGAACAAAGGAAACTTTTCCCAGTGACAAGGATTTTAAAATTCAAGCTATCACTTGTAATCATTTGTCATATGTCATAAAATGTCTTCATTATGAAAAGACACAGAACAATTTGGTATGCCTACTGTTTCTGAGTAGTACCTGTCTATTGTTGCTGTCTTTTTTCTTTTCTTTTCTTTCTTTCTTTTTTTTTTTTTTTTTTAAATATATTTTATAGATTCAGAGAGAAAGGGAGAGGAAAAGAGAGAAACATCAATGATGAGAGAGAATCATTGATTGGCTGCCTCCTGCATGCCCCCTATAGGGATTGAGCCTGCGTGTGCCCTCACCTCCTGGTTTATAGGTAGATGTTCACCCACTGAGCCATATCGACCGAGCTGTTAACTGTCTTTAAATCAGGTACCATACCTCACCCCACTCATCACTCACGGGTCACACAGAGCAAGTGTCTGTGCTCTGCCTTAAAGCATATCCTAGGGCAACCTCACCTCACTGCCTCCCTCACACTTAGTGTAAAGAGAGGAGGCTCTGGATTCAGCTCTGGGTTCGAATTCTCTATCTGTCACTAGCTAGCTATGAGTCCTTGGGCAAGGTCATACTGCATCAGTTTTCTCATCTACAAAATGAGAACAGCAGTTGTGAGCTATGTTATATGCCTATTGCTGATACTATATGTATAGCTTTTGAGCAGTGTTGATATATAAGGGCTCAATGAATGTTGGCTGTTAATGTTATTGTCATTAATTATTATACAATCTAAATCCAACTCACCTTTCAAAGTGAACTTTATAAGATAGACATCAGATCATGTTACTCTCCTGCTGAAAAGCCTTCAGTAGTTTATAGTAAACTCAGAAAAAGAAAAAAAAAAAATCCAGAGTTCTTTCTGTGGTCTTCAAAGCCCTGTGTGATGTGACTCTTTCATTCCTCCGACCTTGTCCCCAGCCATTTGCCACCTGGCACAGGGCACCTGCCAGGACTCCTCCCTGCACTACCCCGCCACACCCAAATCACCGTGCTCGCCTTGTCCTGGTGCTGCTCTCACTAGCTCAGCAGCTCCGCAGGACGGGGCTTCACCCTGTTGTTTTGTTTGTGCATCACCAGCAACCAGTGTGCCTGGCCCATAGTAGTTGCTCTATAGCTATTTGTTGAATGGGAGAATGAATGAAACAAACCATTCCCGATCCTAATACTTTGTGCGCTTTCACATGTATAAAATAAAGAGCTTGCACAAATATTGTGAAAGTAAAGTTAAATTTGGTTAAAACCATCCAAAAGTTTTTCTGGAATTTCATGAACATGGCAGTGTGGGAGAAAACTGACCCGGAATGAGAATGCTCGGTCCTGGTTCTCATTCTGTTCCTGCCACTAAGGATCACTTGGCTTCTCTGAGACTGCTTTCCTGTCTATAAAACGCAGGCAGGGTGGAAATCTCTGAGCAGCTGTCCCGCTGAGGGAAGGGGGAAGAGGGTGAGGGGAGGTGCCTGAGCCCCTCCACTTCAACTGGAGCAGTGTTACTTATATTTCCTTTATATGCTGGGATTTCATATGAAATTTGGTTTGAAAAAAGTCTGTTTCTTAAAAACCACTAAATTAGAAGAGCACAAAGATTATTTTTAGCTTAATTGATTCTGGCAGATTTTCTATTTAAAGGATATTGTTTCTTCACATTCTCTGTACCCCCCACCCCCTCCCAAAGGAAAGATCATTGAATATTTTTTTCAAATGTCTTAAAGAAAATTAAGATATGTGGCTAAATAACAAAATTGTTCTCATCAAGAAATGAACTACATGAAAACAAAGACTGGATCTGTCTGCTCACTACTAATGTATCCATTGCTTAGCACAATCCCAAAGCAGAGCTAACTCAATAAATATTTGTTAGATGGATGGACAACAAGTGGGTATTTGAAGTGAGCAGCAACTTATTTTTAAGGGAAAATATATTTTGCAATAATTGGTGAAAAACATATCTTAAATCATGGAATTTTTACAAGTTGTTTTTTTCAAGATGATACTTATTGAATGTTGATATTGTAATAGATCATGTTTACATGGTGTCTGCTAAATGGCAAGTTTATTGCACCTTCCTTTAATTCCTCATTCATTTCTAATGTTAGTTATTAAAAACATAAAACTCTCAATGCAAGATGGTGGCAGAGTAGAAGCTACACTTATCTTCTTCCAGGACCAAACTGTAAGTAAAACTGAAATATAGAACAATCATCCTGAATAATCAACTGAAGGCTAGCGGAAGAGAGATCTTATAGCCAAGGGTTTACAGAAGAGGTCGCAGCGAGACTGGGATAAGCACAGTATTAATCAACTCCTAAGATAGCAGCAGGAAAGAATAGACAAAGAGTTTGCTAGAGTCCAACAAAGGCTACCAAGAAACCTTAAGAAGTTGCAGGTGACTTTGAGAAGTTCCTACATAAATTCAACCTGAAGTTCAAGTTGATGGAGAATTTCTGGCATCACTGTCATCATCAACAACACAGAAGACTGCAGCTTTGAGGAAGGAGAGCACTGAGAGAAACCAGAACTGGGTTTAAGAATATTATCTACAAAATAAAATCCTATATAATAAAAGGATAATATGCAAATCGACCAAACGGGAACAACCAGTCACTCTGTTGTGCACTGACCACCAAGGGGCAGACACTCAATACAGGAGCTGCCCCCTGGTGGCCAGTGCACTCCCACAGAGGGAACACTGCTCATCCAGAAGCCCTGAGCCGGGCTCAGCTGGCAAGCACAGGGGAGGTAGTGGGAGCCTCTCCTGCCTGTGCAGCAGCGCTAAGGATGTCCAAATGCCGGCTTACTCCCGGACTGCAAGGGGGTGCAGGCCAGGCTGAGGGACCTAGTAAAATATAAAACTAAAAGTACCCAATGTGATTTCCTCCTTTTCCCTCCCTATAAAATAGGATCCTCTTAGAATATTAGCTTTAAAATAGAGAGTACTATTTCTTTTTTGCAGTAATATGGTGAAAGGTGCTTAATAATAAACTGTGGACAACTTTAGATCACAGTTGGCTTTTAAATTTGGCAGAACTGCTTGAAGTTGATAAGAAAAGTTTTACTGAGATTTCAAAGCTATATTAAGTTGAGGTAAGTTAAAGTGAAGGTGATGGTAAGACATTGAACAGCAGTATTGTTTTAAGAATAGAAATGAGACTATCAGCCTTGCATTCTTAAAAAAAAAAAAAAAGCATGTAACAGTAGGTCTTAACAAAATATAAGAATCATGTGTTATACATAAGGTTATAAAATATTCCCACCTGCACATTGCCTAATCTTACTAGATTTTGAATTTTGGTGTGTTTTATGATCAGTCTCTCTAAAAAGTGCATCTCTTGTAACTATAATTCTGTGTGTATGTGTATGAGTGAAAATGTGAAAAGTATACAGTTATTCATAGCATGGTTCTTATATTTGGTACGGTTTACTCATTTATTAATGTTACTCATAAATATATCTTTCCTTTAGGTAAAGAGGATGAATTTCCAAAGAAACCTTTGGGACAACTTCCACCTGAACCTCAGTCTACTGGCATTAGTCTCCTGAGCAATGGACAAAGTGTTGGCAGATCAAGTCCCCATAAGATCAGAAGAGAGAGTGGCTCATCACCTCACAAAAAGCCCGAGCAGTCCCCTCACCAGCAAGGCAGAATTGGTACACCAGAAAGAGTGAGGCAGCCAAGCCGGGCATCAGTGGAGGAGGACAGTAAAAAGCTTAAAGATGAAGCAGACTTTCAAAGAAAACCTTCATTGGGTCCACAAGACAGTGTTAGGCAATATGACCATGCATCTGCTAACCAAAATAGCAATGCTCTTTCAAATATGAGGAAGGAATTTGTGCCCAAATGGAATAAACCATCAGATGTTTCAGCTATTGAAAGAACTGCCAGATACGCCACCGAAGGCAAAAGTCGATTCGCACACCCCACCCTCACAGTCACCATCCCGAGTTCTGCTGACTCTCGGGTGTCAAATGCAAGGCAGAAGATGAAGGTCTGGGATGCCGATGAAGGGAAACGGGGCTCGACTGCATCACAGTATGACAATGTACCTGAAAACGAAAATGGCCCGTCTGCTGAAGAGGCACTAGAAAGGGCTTATTCTCAGAGCCCAAGGAATATTGTTTACACGCACAGTCCGCGGAAGCATCCTGAGCCAACTTCTAGTCCATCAAAAGTACCAAACAAGTTTACTTTTAAAATGCAGCCTCTAAGTTATGCAAAATATCCAGCTCACCTAGATGGAGAAGATCGGGGGCCCGTGCACCCCCCATCTTACAGCAATCCCCCTATTTACCACGGAAATTCTCCAAAGCACGTCCCCACCACTAACAGCAGCTTTGTGTCTCCACAGTTTAGCCACGGGGCTCAAATGAATCCTTCCAGGAGGCCTCATGATTCCACTCTTTCCATCCATGTTTCTCCAGAGAAATCTCACAGCCGTCCAGCTCCTCTTGTCCTACCATCTAGTCGCATAGAAGTTCTTCCCATTGATATTGGTGCTGGGAGATATTCAGGGTCACCAAAGAATGGAAAATTCATCATTCCTCCAGTGGATTATTTGCCAGGTAACAGAAAATGGTCAGAAGTCAGTTACACATTCAGACCTGAGATGCCTGAGCAGTCATGGACTCGGGAAGCTAACCGTAGCCACTTAAGCAATTTAGCAAAATATTCTGCCTTTCAGCATGTACCCTTTCAGGACCAGAGCCTCCCCCCAGTTTCCGTGGACGGTCCAGTGCGGTATAGAACTTCCCCGGCCTTTGAAGACACCGGCTCCTCTGGGTATCAGTATTCAGGGCCCTCGGCTCCAGCGTATCACTACAGAAACCGGGATGGACTTTCTATTCAAGAATCGGTATTGCTGTGAGAATTCATCTCTACTTGCTGACGATGAGAATAGAAATCTCCCAGAATCTATATTGCTATGTTTGTAATTGCCAAAGCAGTATTTTATACCATTGTAAACAATTCGCACAATTTCTCATGTATGTTAGTAATAAGAATAGATGGGAGTGTTTTCATCCCCACGTAGATGCTGCTTAAGATGAGCATTTTAATTGCATCATCACTGAATCTATTAATTTACCGTGGAAACATAGCAATAGCATTTAGGGATGCATACAAAATAAATTTATTACTCAGTTCCATTTATAACTTCTCAAAACCTAAACACTTTTACCCTATTAGTCCATTTTATTTTGAGTAATGTTACAAAGCACTGAAAAACTGTCTATGAACACTAGACATTTTTAAGGCTCTAGAGTATGTGTCTTTAAGTAGATATAGACATCTATACATACACACTTCAACACAGAACTAATGAAACATTAAAAAACCTGCTTTAACCTAGATCCATGGAATAATTTATTTTCCTTTCTTTAACAGGTCTTTTAGTCAAATTCCCCAACCCCCTCATATTTTTAACACAGATCCTAAATTGACTTAAGAGTTTGCAATGAGGTGATTAATTCAGATCTCACAGGATACTCATTTTCTATTGCCATTTTCTTTCAACCTGAAAATTAAAGACATTGGAGAGAAAGTCTAACCACTTAATGGTGCTTAAAATTTGTGGCAGTGAAAGTAAGTTGAAGGCCACAGGTGCAGGTATCCATGTGTCCAGAGGTGCAGGCTCGGTGTATCCCTGAGCACCGAGACCTGTTCCTTCCTCTGTGCCCTTGGCCTGGTCTTTTTGCAAAGAGTAGAGCAGAATGTTCCTGCCAGATATGAAGGAAATGCTGTGGCCCAGGCTGCAGCTCCTGTGGGTGCCAGAGGGAGAGGAGGCAAGTTCCCCTGGGGCAGCAGAATGCACTCCCAGAAATTCCTTTGAAAGCAGGATTAGCAATATAGTTGCTTCTGCCCCTCATAACCTGCAGGGCCTCTCTGCAAAGGGCTGGGTGGTTCTTTACATGATCTTTGTCCTGGCACTCTTCTTTCAAGAACGTAGTCAATGGATATTGCCACGGCCACTTAGGCCATTAAATTACCAGCATGTAAAATTGTAAAAATGATCTGAATTATTGCCTTTTCTTTTTTAATAGTGTGATTTTCATAATTTCAAAAATATTTTTCTTTTTCAGGGACAAAAATTTAGGTCTATGTTAAAAAAAAAAATATTAGCAGTGTCTTTTAAAATATTCTATTTACACTACAGTTACCAAAATACTGACCAAGTTTGGAGCATGCCAAGAAAATAGGACTTTGTATTTAATTGGAGAGCTTGTTTTCAACATTATTTGGCTTGCATTTGAACAATAGACTGGAAAACCTAACATTGAGGGTTCTTCTCGGAAGTTGTGGCTTTAAGCTTTCAAGGTACAGAAGTATGTCTTTTAAAATGAAAGTAACATTTGTTTAGCTAGTGAATGTAACAATTTTTATGTATATAATGAGTCTAATGTAACTTTAATCGCTTTGGTAATGATGTTATTAAATGACAAAATAAATGCAGTGTATTAGCAGGTGAGCACTACACGGAAGCTCAGACGAACTCCTGACATTACTGGGCTCTCGATTCAGATTATGTGAAGCTTAGACATAAATGTATATAAAAATGTAGCAGAAGACATTAATTCTAATTTTTAAACCATGATTCTGTGACTTGTAATAAATCAAGCTGTACAGTTTAGTTCATGATAACAGCATCTGAGCTGCTCCAAAATCTATATATCAACAGTGGTAAATAACTGTAGATTTATATATATATATATGTATGTATGCAAAATATGTATACACACACTATTTTCTTATGTCATCTATGACATTTTTTATCTGTATACTTTTTTTGATGTGATTGTTTTTAACATGCTAAAAGTAATACATATATTTTGTTTTGTGTCTTTTATGTGCTTTTTTTTCATATGGCAGAAGTGCTGCATCCCTGAGCCTTCTAAAGCTAACTCTCTTCTAATTGAGTAGACACTGCCAATGTTTGCGGACATGGCTTTGCATACTCAAGTTCAATGTTATATGTATATTAATTTCCAGTAGTACTGTGTTTAGAATTACAGAATCTTTCCTTTATTTTATGTATTCTGTCATTATTAATAGCAATAAGGTATTATTTCTAGTCTTCCCCATTATAATGTATAGCTATGGTAGCTTTTTAAGTAGGAAAATTTAATTTGAAGTTGTCTTACCACCATACAATTTCACGCTTTCAGATTTATCTTTCACTAAAGATAAATAATGAAGTAATGATAAAATGTGAAATAATATTGGTAAAGTGGGTTAAAATATATTTATGAAAAGCATATTTGGTAAGAATTTTTATGGTGTCGAGGCTGATTTTACTCTGTAACTGCATGTACTTGGTGTAAATGTTTTGCTAAAGTCTTCATAGTAGTTTTGACTAAAACACTAAGCACTTTGGGATAGTTTTTATTTTCTTAATATTTAGTTTGAAAGGTTAAAGAAACTAGACCCAGAGTCTCAAAGAGTTGTTAAACTCTGACTCTTTTCAATGCTTATGTTTTTTAATAGTTTTCTTTTAAGTTGGGAGATATATGTAAAATCAGATATCAATTGTTGGGTAGGAAAAGAATATTTTTCTGCCTATCTTTCTAGGTTCTCTGGCCAGGCCCTGTTAATTGGGCTGGCAAAAGACAGGTGAACAAGACAAAAACAAGTTTATTGACATCTGCATCCTGCACTCAAATGGGAGGATCCAGGGATGAGTTTCTAAGAAGGGCAGGTGTGGGTCTAGGTACCTCACTTAGTGGAGAAGGGAAAGGGAGGAAGGCACTCGTGGAAAAGTAAATGACTTTTTGGAAAATAAATAGACCTTTTGGAAATAAACAAGAGATATGATAGTTTGTGACAAGTCTGGGTGGGGTGCCAGAAGGGATGAGAATTGCCCAGGGAGGGGATTTATGACTGTTGAGTTCTTTGGGGAGGTTTCTGCTATAGATAGATAAGGGATTTCGGGAACTCAAATGCCTTCAGCTCAAAACCTTTCCCATGCCAAAGTGGCATATTTTGGGATAGCATGTCCAGGATATTTACAAAATGGTTGCTTTAACATTTTTCATTTAATGTCATACTAAGTATAACTTTAAAATTGAGTTTCATGCCTACAGTTATCTTAAGATCTCTCTCTCTCTCAGGACCTATTTTAATTCAGGCACAAAAACAATACCTCCTCAATACTTTGCTGAGATCTCTTTTATTTTCATGATTAGAACAAAATATGCCATGTCCAGAAATAGGGATTTATTTACAGCAGACCCAACCTTAATTTTATGGAACTATTAGTGCTCTCAATTATCTTTTATACTCGCAGTTTATTTTAGTATGCACTTAAGTGTGGGCTAAGACTGTGGTTTTAAAATCTGGTTTTGTTTTAATTGTCCTTTAATGGATTGTAAATGTCCATTTCTAATATGGATATTAATGCTTATGGACAAGGTGATTTTAATAAGTCAAACTTTACTTTTATAATCAAGGGATTGTGATTAGGAAGAAGGTTTCTATTTAAAATGTATTTATGATTTGTACCTTCAGAAAGAGTTTCAATTAACCATAAATCTAAGGATAGGTGTAACCATTGTATAGATAAGAACACTGAGAAAAGAGCAAATTTTAGATTTCATCGGAGTGGATCTTGACCCCTGTTGCTCTTTAGAATTTTCAGGGGAACTTTTTAAAAATCTCCTTGGTTCCTACCCTCCGCCCCTTAAGCCAGAATAGCTGGGGTGGATCCCTGGTATCAGGTAATTAGATTTTCCTCCCTTCTGTCAGTTAAGCTATTTCCAAAAATCCCTCTAACGTTGATCGTCTTATATTCTCACTATGAGTTGTCTCAAAAAAAATTTTTAACAAGTCGGTTTGAGTAAGTTAGCAAAAATTCCACTGGGAAGATGAACATTATCAGGAATCTGTAAGTTTTGATGAACTGACAGAGGTGGAAGGTATAAATGTCTTCCGATGGAAAGTAGCATGACTGTAATGTCTCTCACTAGGGCTGGCAACCATTGTACAAAATAGCTAGTGCCTTGTTAAGATTTCCATTTCCCTAGACAACCTCTCGTTTTTGTTAAGTGACATGCTAAAACAAAGGTCAACGTTGTCTGGAAGCCTGCATGCATTTCTCTATGCGAGGGGCTGAGACAATGTTCTTAGTCGCTTTACCAGTCAACACTTCATTGAGCACAGTGGACTAGCTGTCCTAGGGACTCATATTTCAATATCAGAGACGTGTTTTATAAACCGTGTCTTCAGCCAGTGTTGGAGACCCGCACAGGTGATTCTTACAGGCACAGAAGGTCACCCACCAAAAGGATTGGGGAAGCTTGTGGGAAAGTTGCCTCAGCTGAGCCTGAGAGGATTCTTGAGGGGACAGGAAATAGCGAGGGAAAGCAGCATTTCTCCCCAGGTTAACATGAGCACCTGCAGGGTCTGTGGGGGAAAGTTTGCCACTTTGATGTGTGGGTGTGGGGTTCCACAGAAAGAACAGATTTTGGACAGTCTTGTATGTCATTGAACTTGGTCCTGAAGGCAGCTTTTTCCCTGCATGTTTGCATTACCTGGGTGACCCCTAGAAGGCGCTGGAGGCTAGCTGGGAGGGAACAAGCCTAGAGGAACTAAAGGTGGTAGGAGCTGAAGGCCAGGGAAGACGTTCCAATGAAAAGGTGATTAACTTGGGAACTAATTACTAAATAAAATGGCAAAACTTGATAACTGCTTGAAATGTCATCATCATAATCATAAGAAAAGTAGCTAATGATATTGAATACTTACTACATGTCTGGTCCTTGCTTAAGCATTTTACCCATATTAACTCATTTAATTCTTCCAACAACTCTATGGCGTATGTGCTGTTATAATTCACAGTGAGCAAATGAAAAAACAGACACAAATGAGTTGAAG